CTGAGATACTCACCCAAGATACTCACCTAGGGTAACTCTCATGAGAGAGGGATTAATCTCCTTAGAACAGGGGTTCCCAACCAGGGGTGCTCGCACTCCCTGGGGGTGCGAGACATCATTCCAGGGGGTGGGAGAAGCGTCCGTCTTAATAACAGGAAATTGATTCAATTACTTATTAATATTCAATAATCATAGTAAAATTACCATTATCTTTATTTTCATCTCTTTATTTCAGATTATCATCATAACCCTTCACCATGCAGAAGGAAATGGAATGATTTTAGGGGGTGCGAGGTTAGAGCAAAAATTTTATAGGGGTGCGGGAGTAAGAATAGGTTGGGAACTACTGCCTTAGAAGATCAATCTCCTTAGGGTGGAACACTTTCCCGATGTGTATAAGAACTAACGTTATGCGAGACGTGTTTACCTCTGCTACCAAGGCAGTATCTGATGCAGGCAAACTGTCTGATGGTTACAACCCTAAAATCTTGCTTCTCGTTACCAATTTAGGGATTTCGTAAAATAAAGTTAGCTTGTGCAATCGTATTTTGTGTGGAAAAATTAGCTTGTGCATATTTTCTTCTAGTGAATGAATGGTGTCTTATTTACACAAATAACCCGCACGTAGGAGAAAAACTTTTAGATGAATGGTTCAGAGAACCGACACGTTGATAAATTAGACACATGTGCAACTCTTGGGTATCTTTATTGAGGAAACGTATCGCCACACAGTGGCTTCATCAGTTCATACCAAGGTTCTCTGAACCATTCACCTACAATCCTGTCAGACACTGCAACTTCTTGGGATCTTAATATTTGGGAATTCTTCGCTTGCCTAACCCTTGGGCACGACCTACTTCCACATTGGATAGATGTGACACCACCTACGACTGCTGCACCTCTCCTGACTACGGTATATAAGCTAATCCGCACATATGCTGCATTCTATTCAAGATTATTGGACTGACCACATCGACTCAAGGTTGAGGGACTGATTACCTCATTCTCCTCCTGTTCTTCACGTTTTTCTTTGTATGGACTGATGAAGCCACTGTGTGGCGAAACGTTTCCTCAATAAAGATACCCAAGAGTTGCACATGTGTCTAATTTATGAGAAAAACTTATGACAGTTTCGGTCCAACTTGGACTGAAACGTTGTCAAGTCCAAGTCAGACCAAAACGTCCTCATAAGTTTCTTTTTCCTATGTGCGGGTTATTAGTGTATTGTTCCAGTCGCGGTATTGGGCTTTTTTATTCTTTGTGGGTTATTTGCTGTGAGTTTCGCTAGTTAGCAGAGGTATATTATTTCATCGCTGTCTGTCTCTGTGGAAACTACCCTTGTGGCTGTTAGGTTACCTGGGAGACAGGGAACTACCCTTGTGGCTGTTAGGTTACCTGGGAGCCAGGGAACTACCCTGGTGGCTGTTAGGTTACCTGGGAGCCAGGGAACTACCCTGGTGGCTGTTAGGTTACCTGGGAGCCAGGGAACTACCCTGGTGGCTGTTAGGTTACCTGGGAGCCAGGGAACTACCCTGGTGGCTGTTAGGTTACCTGGGAGCCGGGGAAAACTACCCTGGTGGCTGTTAGGTTACCTAGGAGCCAGGGAACTACCCTGGTGGCTTTTTAGGTTACCTAGGAGCCAGGGAACAAACCCTGGTGGCTGTTAGGTTACCTAGGAGCCAGGGAACTACCCTGGTGGCTGTTAGGTTACCTAGGAGCCAGGGAACTACCCTGGTGGCTGTTAGGTTACCTAGGAGCCAGGGAACTACAGTAGCTCACTTGACTACTGCATCCCAAGTGCTGGCAAATATCCTTTGTGACATTCGCTTATTTCTGGTGTTTGGTCATTTTTTTGTTTTCGACCCTGGTTTATTATAATGTAATCTCTCACATTAGTCCTTCAGCCTACTGTATACGACTTTATATTCATCTTTACGGTAAATGGTGTTCTGTTTCTCTGAAAGGTAACGTCGTTTCACCATCTGTCCGACACGACAGAGAAAAAGCAAACTGGCTACAGGTTTGGTCATTAATACTTTTTACATGCCACCTGTTTAATTTGTCTAAGTGTGTGAGACAGATGTCTTTTAACCTCTGCGTGTCATTTCATTGCTGGTGGGAGCAACAGGTGTGTCGGCACGTGTTAGTGAAGTCTTGTCTGTCTCATCTACCAAATTGCCTTACTCCTGGTTGAATAGAACTCATCTCACTGTCAGACAGAGAGTGGTCAGTTTCTCCAAAGTATTGAAGAGGACAGGAGAAGCAGGAAACAGAGTAGACACCAGGGGCATGAATCGCAGGAGGAGAGGTACAAAGCTGATTACTGCGAAGGGTGTTAGCTTGGCGAAAAGTAAGTTTGACGTCTAATGAAATGAGAGAGTTGTTGAGAGAAAAACTTATGACGGCGTTTCGGCCCGATTTGGACCATTAATTAGTGACATTGCTTCATGTTTCAGATGTTTGGCTCTTGGTCACATTTCTTTCTTTCAGTTTTCCATTGTTTACTACAGTTATAATTGTGATTCTTTAGTACTGTTTGTCTTTATCTCATAATTTCCCAATTTAGATTATAATTCCTGGTTATTGTTTTTCTCATTTGCAGTTTCCCTATGGGGTCTTCCCAAAGATTCGAAGCCGTACTTCTGGCGGTGGCTACAACCTTGGCGCGATGGAAGCTTTAAAACAACAGCAGGTAACGGAATACCATCAGCAGTCAGATAATCTCTCATTACACTAGGGTGCTCACTGTAGCTGTGTTTAGAGGAATATTGGTAAGCGGATTTTTTTTTTTTTGGCATTCACGTGTTTTGATAGTTTAAAAGTCAAGACAGGTATGAGAACTGCACAGTTTATACCCGTTCAACTTTAAGCTTGTTAACAAACCATACCACGGGTGGGGTTTAAACCCGCGGTCAGTCCCAAAACTCCAGACCGTTTTGAGACTATCCGACCACGGGTTCAAACCCCACCCGTGGTAGGTATTGTTTGCAATCGTGTCACTACGATTTCGTGAGTCAAGTTAAGCTTGTATTCAGGAGGATTAGATCCTAAGGACGCGGGATTATTCTCTGACAATGCACTTTACTGAATCTTTTTTCCTCGAGGAAACTGTCAAGGATTACTCTCACTTTGTTAGAAGTTGCAAATAGTTAATAGGACCCAAAAATTTTCTAATTGTGTTTCGGTGTGGTCATACCTGTAGTATGAAATTAGTCCCCATTATTTGATGGCCACTGATTTATATTTTATATATTTTTATGTCCTTATTCGGAATATTTGAATGTTTATGGTTGTTTATACAGGCTGGAGGAGAACAGGTTGTGATTATAGACAAGGAAGAAACTGTGATTCACTTGAACTATCCTGGAATTTTTCTCGTCTGTTTAGATTCAAAATAGGTTAGTTAGAGAAGAAAATGAGAAAAGGAAGAGAAGATTAGTAAGGGATGATCAGAAGAAGAAAGGGAAAAATAGATATGGAAGAGCAGAGGAAGAAATAATGAAAAATTAGCGAGGTGAATGAGAAATAAAGAGAAATTAGGAAAGAGTTCAAAAGTAGAAAGTAAGAGATAGAGAAGAAATTGGAATCCATGAAGCATGAACCGACAACAGAAACTTCAAGATCAAGTTGAACAAAGAACTTGGGAACAAAAAATACTTGAATATGAACCCCGAGATCAATACGAACAAAAGACTTTAGAACTTAAGGCATTAGCACTTGAACAAAAGATACTAGATTTAAAAAAAAAAAGTAGATGAAGACGTGATAGAAGTCACTGCACCACCGGAGTTCACATGCCGAGGCTGCCACCATGCACAGGAGAGGACATAGCCTGCTCATGGTACGTTCTGAGAACAGCGTCACTGAGGATAGCCCACTGACACCTGGGCAACAAGGTAAAAGTGTGTCACTTTCTCCTACTGTACTGGACATTTATACTAGTGTCTAATGAGGATAGTTTTGACTACACTGAAAAAAGGCGATTCTTCAGGCTTTTCAAAATACTCCATCACAGCGTCAGCGGTGATGGAGCTTTCAATTGGTGGACCTCTCTTCTGGCTCCAGTATGTGTGTCCATCCTCCTGCCTCTGCTTCAGACTGATGAAGACTGAGGGACTGATCACCTCACCTTCCACTGTCTCTGGTATGTGATCTCTGTACTGAATTGAAAATGCCACTGGTTGGCAAGGCATTTTCAAAATAAAGATACCCAGGGGTTGCACTGTGTAATTCATTAAGATTAATAACTACTCTCAGTAAGGTACAAATCACCTGAGGAAAAGAGATGCACATGAGGAGGAGAGATTTACCTGAAGAACAGGAAGACTCATTTGAGTACGAAAACTCACCTGAGGAAGGGAAGTGCAGCATGTTCTTAGTACGTTATAATTTATTTAGCATTCATCACACAACCACTTCTTGCATTCCCTCTACACCTGTAAAACTTGCAGTTAGGTCGGAGTGGCTGCTAAAGGGCCCCAGCCACTCTGATTTGCTGTCAGGTTTATTCGACAACCAACTGAGTGAGCTTGATCACAGCTGAACTGATGTTATGCTTCCACACCTGCCTGGAGGCAGACTCTCGCTGAGTTTGACTGAGTACACACACACACTGATCTATGCATGAGGTGAGTGAAAATCCCTCTGCTTTTTCTCTCATTAGCATTTTGCTGCTCTGCTGCACTCTGCATGTTGTAAATATTGATAGAGGGAATATAAAGTTGATCAGAAAATTACCCTCTTGTGTATGCCTTTGTTTTTATTTTCTGAAAGTCTGTTCCTGGTATGAAGAATTCATTTATGACCAGGTACTACAGGCCTTACTTAGCGTACCTGTGTGTGTAATAGTAAGACTTACCTGAAAAGGAGTAAGACTCACCTGAGAAAGGGAAGACTCACCTGAGGAGGGGTAAAACTCACCCGAGGAAGGGTAAAATTCACCTGAGGGAGTAGACTTACCTGAGGAGGGCTAAGACTCACCTGAGGAGGGGAAGACTCACCTGAGGAGGGGGAAGAGGGTGCAGATCCATCCCTCCCCCCACAGCCACTTGCCAGCAAGGAACCTGGAGACCTCCCAAGGCAGCACCAACACACAGAACAAGAAGTCTGCCACACACAAGCTGAAACCATACCATGTGTTAACCATATGTTAACCACACTATGTGTTTACCATATGTTAACCACACCATATGTTTATCATATGTTAACCACACCATGTGTTTACCCTATGTTAACCATACCATGTATTAACCATATGTTAAGTACACCATATATTAACCACACCATATGTTAACCACACCATATATTAACCACACCATATGTTAACCACACCATATGTTAACCACACAATATATTAACCACACCTATATTAACCTCACCATATGTTAACCACACCATATATTAACCACACCATATGTTAACCACACCATATATTAACCCCACCATATGTTAACCATACCATATATTAACCCCACCATATGTTAACCACACCATATATTAACCACACCATATGTTAACCACACCATATATTAACCCCACCATATGTTAACCACACCATTAAATTTAAACCCACCATATGTTAACCACCATATATTAACCCCACCATATGTTAACCACACCATATATTAACCTCACCATATTTTAACCACACCATATATTAACCCCACCATATGTTAACCACACTATATATTAACCACACCATATATTAACCTCACCATATGTTAATCACACCATATATTAACCCCACCATATGTTAACCACACCATATATTAACCACACCATATATTAACCACACCATATATTAACCCCACCATATGTTAACCACACCATATATTAACCCCACTATATGTTAACAACATATATTAACCCCACCATATGTTAACCACATCATATATTAACCCCACCATATGTTAACCACACCATATATTAACCCCACCATATGTTAACCACACCATATATTAACCCCACCATATGTTAACCACATCAAATATTAACCCCACCATGTGTTAACCACACAATTTGCTAACAACAACATATATCATATATGCACATTGTGTTGATCACATCGTGTAAAATGAAAATTCGTCTACCGAAACGTCGTCTGCTAAATTGTCGTCTACTGAAACGACGTCTACTGAACCCTCGACTCCTGAAGCGTCGGCTACTGAAACGTCTGCTGAAGCATCGTCTCCTGAAGCGTCGACTGCTGATGCGTCATCTACTGAAACGTCTTCTACAAAAACGTCAACTGAAATGTTATTTTACGTAATGTCGAGTAATACCACGATGACTGTGGAATATATTTTAAGGTAAGATCAGCGTCCCTTCACGTAACTCTTACTGCTATATAAACTCTTAACCATCCAAGTACCACTTATTCTACTGTTTTTCTTTCAACGTAGCGGCCGTATCCCACCAAGGCAGGGTGACCTAAAAGGAAAAACGAAAGAGTTTTCTTTTTTTAAACTTAGCAGTTTATACAGGAGAAGGGGTTACTTGACCTTTGTTCCCAGCATTTTAGAAGCCTCTTACGACACGCACGGCTTGCGGAGGAAGAATTCTTTTTCACTTCCCCATGGAGTCTATTATTATTATTATTATTATTATTATTATTATTATTATTATTATTATTTGGTTGTATAATTAACACTGGAAATGTTTTATAATGAATATCTCACAGCAAATATACACTGTAATCTTGGGAATAATACTGACATAAGAAAATGTTGTAGATAAAATAGTGGGCTGTATGACTATGAGGTCAATAACCTATGAGGTCAATAACCTATGAGGTCAACCTATGATGTCAATAACCTATGAGGTCAATAACCTATGAGGTCAACCTATGAGGTCAATAACCTATGAGGTCAATAACCTATGAGGTCAACCTATGAGGTCAATAACCTATGAGGTCAACCTATGAGGTCAATAACCTATGAGGTCAATAACCTATGAGGTCAATAACCTATGAGGTCAATATCCTATGAGGTCAATAACCCATGAGGTCAATAACCTAAGAGGTCAATAACCTATGAGGTCAATAAACCATGAGGTCAATAAACTATGAAGTCAATAAACTATGAGGTCAATAAACTATGAGGTCAATAAACTGTGAGGTCAATAACCTATGAAGTCAATAACTTATGAAGTCAATAAACTATGAGGTCAATAAACTATGAGGTCAAACTATGAAGTCAAACCATAAGGTCAATACACTATGAGGTCAATAACCTATGAGGTCAATAAAATATAAGGTCAATAAACTATGGTTAATAAACTATGGGGTTAATAAACTATGGGGTTAATAAATTATGGGATTAATAAACTTTGGGGTTAATAAACGATGGGGTTAATAAAATATGGGGTTAATAAACTATGGGGTTAATAAACTATGGGGTTAATAAAATATGGGGTTAATAAACTATGGGGTTAATAAACTATGGGGTTAATAAACTATGGGGTTAATAAATATGGGGTTAATAATACTGATTGGGGTTAATAAACTATGGGGTTAATAAACTATGGGGTTAATAAACTATGGGGTTAATAAACTATGGGGTTAATAAACTATAGGGTTAATAAAATATGGTGTAAATAAATACTTATTAATAAAAAATGAACCAAAAAATTAGAACTAAGAGAGGTGTATTTCTGCCACTGTATATATGCTGATAATACACTTTAATCCCTATTTTAGAAATTAAAATATTCTTGACTGGTGGGTAAGTGTCATGTAGCCTTAATAACTCTCGTGTAGTGGATAGGCTGTAAATCCTATTAACCTTTCGATACATATTCACCTCTCGGTGTATATAACACGGTTTAAATACACTTTTAGTGTATTTATAGGAGATTAGTTTTAATCCTTATTTTAGGGTTTAAAGTATTCTAGACAAGTGGTAAACAAGGTACACGCAACCTCGAAACTCTAATGTAGTTAATAAGATTTAAACCCAATTAATCAACCAGTCTTTCTTTGAATCTACCTCAGTGCTAAGTGATCTTTACTTCAACAATCCATATTAAAACAGAATATTAAACAGAAATAGAGCTCTCTATAAATTATCCATGATTCTTTTTAGTTCCTGTTTATGTTATGTGAAGGTTATCACCAGTCCGAGCTCCTGGAGTCTCAATCCCCAGTCATAGATTCTTATTGATTCTTATGACTCAGCTATACACTGTATCATGGCAAATGTTGAATCTGAAAATTGTAAAAGTCTCGTAGTCGATTTTGCATTAAGTGGATTACTTCACTTATATCAGAACTTTTAGGACGCTTTTTTCACTTATATCAGAACTTTTAGGACGCTTTTTTCACTTATATCAGAACTTTTAGGACGCTTTTTTCACTTATATCAGAACTTTTAGGACGCTTTTTTCACTAAGTGTCAAACACTAGTGAATGTTGGCCTTACTACCACACAGCTATACACTGTCTGGTGCTATATATAGGAGCTAGGCTGGACAGACAAGCACGCTACAGTGAATGAGCTGTTTAGTGACGATGCCCTTGGAATAAAGTTTATTGGTCTAATACTGAATCGCGCTGCCGAAAGACCATGTCTGGACACCTCTAACATTGTGGGCGTTATTCCTTGACTGCGCTCCCTCGGTTGGTTGGTTCAGGGGGATTCAAGCCAGTTAGTTTCTCGAAAGTCATTAAGGCTGCATGTCACCTGCTCGTAGCCAGTCAAGAATAATCGCAAAAGCAGGAATTAAACTCTCAACATACTTAAACCTGATGTTGCATACATACATTATTATTATTATTATAATCAAGAGCCCCTCACCAACATCAAGGAACCTTCCTTGAGGAGTGCATACATACAGCCTTTGACTATCCTCTCCATGTTGCTCGTGGCATCATCAAAAAATTATTATTGATTTAGCTAAACTATTAATAACTAAACCATGTGTCATGAATTCGGGCTATTATGGGCACTGTGACCTCTAGATAACAATTCATTATAATATATAAAATTTCACTTCTGTAGCTAATTCATTAACGAACTTTAAATATTAGTTTTTTCAAATTTAAGGTAACTGATTCCTCTTGACGTTGAGAACATTATACTCGCTCACCTCACCTGACTTAAGGTTATATAAAACTCTGGGCTTTAATGTTGCTTCGGTTTATGAAAAATAGTACCTGGTTATGAGATTTAAAATAATAGAGGTAAGTGAAATAGGCTTAGGAGAGGCCAGACCCCTGACGAGCAGTGGCGTTATCTACCGTCGTTTTCATTACCTAACCCGTCCAACATTTTTGTTTTATCGCTGTCAGACCCCTGAATAACTAAGCATCAATTAATCTATCCAGACCCCTGAATAACTAAGCATCAATTAATCTATCCAGACCCCTGAATAACTAAGCATCAATTAATCTATCCAGACCCCTGAATAAACTAAGCATCAATTAATCTATCCAGACCCTGAATAACTAAGCATCAATTAATCTATCCAGACCTGGAATAACTAAGCATCAATTAATCTATCCAGACCCCTGAATAACTAAGCATCAATTAATCTATCCAGACCCCTGAATAACTAAGCATCAATTAATCTATCCAGACCCCTGAATAACTAAGCATCAATTAATCTATCCAGACCCCTGAATAACTAAGCATCAATTAATCTATCCAGACCCCTGAATAAACTAAGCATCAATTAATCTATCCAGACCCCTGAATAACTAAGCATCAATTAATCTATCCAGAGCCCCTGAATAACTAAGCATCAATTAATCTATCCAGACCCTGAATAACTAAGCATCAATTAATCTATCCAGACCCCTGAATAACTAAGCATCAATTAATCTATCCAGACCCTGAAAAAACTAAGCATCAATTAATCTATCCAGACCCCTGAATAACTAAGCATCAATTAATCTATCCAGACCCTGAATAACTAAGCATCAATTAATCTATCCAGACCCCTGAATAACTAAGCATCAATTAATCTATCCAGACCCCTGAATAACTAAGCATCAATTAATCTATCCAGACCCCTGAATAACTAAGCATCAATTAATCTATCCAGACCCCTGAATAACTAAGCATCAATTAATCTTATCCAGACCCCTGAATAACTAAGCATCAATTAATCTATCCAGACCCTGAATAACTAAGCATCAATTAATCTATCCAGACCCCTGAATAACTAAGCATCAATTAATCTATCCAGACCCCTGAATAACTAAATGTTGAGTGTTGTTCGTTTTATCTCACTCCGTCTTGTTGCGACCATTTAATGAAAGTAACCCCAGTATAATGGTTAATACATTTAATTTTAACACAGACTAATGTATGATGATTGCTTGAAGTAATCTACGTCTATATTGTATTATTTTATTATTGAAGTTAATCTTGGCATTCATGAACACAGTAACTTTCGGATTTGGAAATAATTTCTACATGCTCGATGGAGTTGTCAGTGTGACAGTCCTAAGACTTCTAAAATTAATCTTAGGTGAATCCTGGCAAAAAGTTCTTATAAGCAACATTAACTGAATATATTAAAGGCTAATACTTCGTATCGATTCTTGAGTCAATACATAAAAAGTATAGGTAACTAGAAAACATTGTGCGTGCATACATGTTATGAAGCAACGGTACAATCACCATCACAACCACCATCTTACCTGATGATGAAAGCAGCGGTGACGTTCCTGACGCGAGGACAGCGGAGGAGGGCTAGGATGGTGAGGAAGTTGCCAGTGAGGCCCAACACCATGTACCCCATGAAGAGCACTGCTATGAAGCACGCCACACCACGCGACATCCTGCCGGGGAGCACACGATTAATGGTGTGCTCAGGAGGGTGATTGAGAGGCTCAGGAGGGTTATTAAGAGCTTCAGGAGGGTTATTGAGAGCCTGAGGAGGGTTACTGAGAGCCTGAGGAGAGTTACTGAGAGCCTCAGGAGGGTTATTGAGAGCCTCAGGAGGGTTATTGAGAGCCTCAGGAGGGTTATTGAGAGCCTCAGGAGAGTTATTGAGAGCCTCGGGAGGACCAACAAACCTAGACGAATAACGAGGTCAACTATAAGTTCAGAACTTACAAAAGATGCTGCAATTAAACGTAGGTCATTGAAAGAAGATGTTAAAAAGGCGACCATGCTAAATATCACATGGGAAACAGCGAAACAAAAGCTTTATCTAGGAGAAACAGGCAACGAGTTTTGAAAAACCCAAAAATTTATTATCAAACTGGGCAAAAGTTAATTTGTGTTTGTCGACGTGAGGATTGTGGCATCCAGTGACGGAGGAGGGATTTAAAAAAAGTATTAACAAAAAAATAATCAAATTAAATTGTGATAATAAATAAGCATTATCCCAGGAAAGTAATGAATAAATTTTTTCACTATAATAAAATTATTACTAAAAAAAACTGCAATTATATATTGGTTTTTTTTATTTAAAGTTTAAATTTTTATTAATAAAATTTATTTTCATTTAACGCGAGTTCTATCAAGACTCCTGAATGTGTACACGTACTTACTATTAGTTGTACAAAATATAAGTACATGATAGTAAACTGAAATTGTTAGTTACAATTTGGGAATTCCAAATGTTATTTATCAAGATGGAGGAGTTTTTTTTTCATTTTTCAATTTTAATTTGGGGTTTAAATAGTAATTGGATCCCCAGCTCGGGATGAAATCCAATGGTTATTATGTATATTAGTTAACTTAAAGTATATTTATTCCCCAATTTATTTACAATATTAACCACTGCAGACAAGGAGCTGTCAGAAAAAGTCATTCGGTCTTTGTTTTTAATTAATTCAGACTTTTCCGTTTGACCGTAATAAATTTATCCATTTTGACAAGGAATTTTTTTTATTACTCCGTCCCTTTTTGGGGGGGAAATTTTTTAAAAACAAAATTTATGAAATAGTAATGATCCAAAAAAACCCCAAAAAATTATTTGATAAATCCCTTTTAAAAAATTTTAGAAATACTTTTTTCAATCCAAAAAGGGACAACCAACCTTATTCAACTAAAAATATGTTGGTTCTCCCTTCCCTGAAAACTTGGTTGATATGTCTTCTCTTCTTAAGATTTTAATATCAAAGTTGTATTTTAAAAAATTTGACACAGTTAAAAAAATTTTTATAAAAAAAACCCCCCCAAAAAGCGAGGATGTGTTTTTAAAATTCCTTGTCAAATATATGATAAAGTTTTTACGGTCAAATGGTAAAAGTCTTGAACTTGGTTAAAATAACATAAATTAGCATTGAATTTGGGCAAGATTTAGTGCTCTGTTTATTTTGAGAGATTTTTAAACCCTTAAAAAGATTTTGAAAATGCTGAAAAGTTATATAAAAGTAAGTCCATGGTCGACAGGAATATAACAGAATCAGGTTTCATAAAATGTAGTCTTGAAAATAATATGAATATTTCTTTTGATTTATATAAATTGGATTATTTTATAATTAATAAAATTTGGGAAGTATTTAAGGAACATTAGACAAATTTTTGGGTAGAATATAATCTGTGTTTCATGGATCACTGACTACCAACCAACATCATCATAAAAAGTCAGGTGCTGTTGTGGGTGGCAGTGAGGTGTAGTCTCGTCCTTATAAATCTTCCTGTTAACCTTTTTATCTTTATAGACCTTGATGATGTAAGAAGTCACGAAAGTGCTTGGAACTTTACTATCTTTTCATAATGGAAAAATAAACACATAATGTGATCCTTTACTGACAACGGCTTATCAAGTCACAAACAGATAAACTTGATAAACCTCAGTGTGTGGGCGAAACGTTGTCAATAAAGGATCACATTATACTGCTTATGTGTTTACTTTTCCATTGTGTCGGTATTTTATTCCTTTTATTTCCATCTTTTCACATCGGTTGTTTTGTGCACACACACACACCCCACACACACACACACACACACACAAACACACACACACACCCCACCCCACACACACACACACACATATATATTTTATATATATATATATTATTTATTATATATATATATTATTATTATTATTATTATTATTATTATCACACTGGCCGATTCCCACCAAGGCAGGGTGGCCCGAAAAAAAAAAACTTTCACCATCATTCATCATTTACTGTCTTGCCAGAAGGGTGCTTTACACTACAGTTTTTAAACTGCAACATTAACACCCCTCCTTCAGAGTGCAGGCACTGTACTTCCCATCTCCAGGACTCAAGTCGGCCTGCCGTTTCCTGAACCCCCTTTATAAATGTTACTTTGCTCACACTCCAACAAACACGTCAAGTATTAAAAACCATTTGTCTCCATTCACTAATATCAAACACGCTCACGCATGCCTGCTGGAAGTCCCAAACCCCCCGCCCACAAAACCTCCTTTACCCCCTCCCTCCAACCTTTCCTAGGCCGACCCCTACCCCGCCTTCCTTCACTACAGACTGATACACTCTTGAAGTTATTCTGTTTTTGCTCCATTCTCTCCACATGTCCGAACCACCTCAACAACCCTCATCAGCCCTCTGGACAACAGTTTTGGTAATCCCGCACCTCCTCCTAACTTCAAACTACGAATTTTTCTGATTATATTCACACCACACATTGCTCTCAGACCCTGAATTTTCCACTGCTATATCAGTATATATTATATATTATATATATATATTATATATTTATATATATATATTTATATATATATTATATATTTTATATATATAATATATCTGATATTAGCATATATATATTTTATACCTCTGGTGTAAATTGTGGGGACCCCCAGCCTCGGAGAAGTGAATAAAAATGCTTCAAGGAAGAATATTTGGATTTCTTCCTGAAGCCGTTTGAATATTCCACTTCCCCTACCACCCCATCTTTTAGTAAAATATTTTTTTTACCAATAGGAATATTTTATTACATAATATGGTACAGAAGATTTAAGAGATACATTGTTGATATAAAAGGGGGCATATAAGGTACATGTTGTTACGTGTGTACACCGATTATAAGGCAAAAAATCTCATCCACTCCTCAGAGCTGGGGCGTGTTCCCAAAATACGCAGGCATTCCCCCTTTGAACAGCCGCACTGAGCCACTGGAACAGAAAACTAGCTCCCCTGGGATCCCTAGTTACCCTGATGGGGTCTTTTCCCAGCTCCTTAAGGAATTTAGATGCACTCTTTCCCCATGACCCAAGGGTCTCTGACCCCAATGGGAACAAACATATAATGATGGGCAAGTTCTCCATATTTTCTAGACTTTTGGGACTCCCTGAAGCTGGCAGCTGCCCCTCCTTCCTCCCTGGTGTATTGGAGATAGGTATCAGCCAAGGTAGATGCACATGTAAGTCCCACACCACTGCTTCCCATCTGTCCAGGCTTAAAGGGGTTTGATACCATCTGGACGCTTCTGGCTGCCATCAGATCTGCATAGTTGGGGTGGCTCCCTTACTGCTGGGCATCCAGCTGTTGTGAGGCTCCTCTTGATAATGTTATTAACCTCCTCATGTCTTGCAATCTTTTCCCTCGGATTTACGGCACACAAAACCATGGTACCCAAATAGGTCTGCTGCTTCACTGCCACAAATACACTGTGTTCGGCGAGAATAGGGGCGGGAAGTCGAAGGGCAACACCGATGCGGATGGTCTGTGGGTCGAGGCGTGTGCCAAGGCTGGAGTTGGGAACAGCCAACAGAAAGTCCCCAGCATGAGGGGCTCTCACTGCCAGCAGGGGGGCTCTATCCTTCCCTGACACACTTGAAGCATTGTTGAGCTTTTATTTTCCACTATTGGACCATCCCAGTGCGATTGTTTGTAGTTGTTGGGGGGAGCAGGTCTGGTTTCTGAGCCTTTAGATTATCCGTTAGAAATTTTAAAATATATATATATATATTATATATATATATAAAATATATTATATTATATATATATATATATATATATATATGTCGTGCCGAATAGGCAGAACTTGCGATCAAAGGCTTAAATAGCAACGTCATCTTTCCATATAGGACAAGTGAAAAATTTTTGTATGCAATAATTTCGCCAAAAAACATTCTAAACCTAACGAAAAAAAAATATTTCACTGTGTTTGTTTAGTATAAATTATTGTAAAAAAATCTAAAAATATATTTTAGTTGGGTTTAGGCTAAAATAATTGTTCTTGTTATAATAAGGTTAGGTAAGTTTTCTAAGATTCTTTTGGTGCAAAATTAAAAAATTTTACATTAACATTTAAAGAAAAAAATATATCTTTAAACGTTAAGAGAAAATTTTAGAAAGGACTTAATTTTAAATGAGTTCTTGCTAATTGACAGTTTTACATATTCGGCACGACATATATATATATAAAATTATATTATATATATTATATATATATATATATATATATATATATATATATATATATATATTATATATATATAATATTCTCCATGGGGAATGGAACAGAATTCTTCCTCTGTAAGCCATGCGTGTCGTAAGAGGACGACTAAAATGCCAGGAGCAAGGGGCTAGTAACCCCTTCTCCCGTATAAATTATAAATTTAAAAAGAGAAACTTACGTTTTTCTTTTTTGGGCCCCCCCTGCCTTGGTGGGATACCCCGGTTTGTTGAAATAAAAATATAATATATATATATATATATATATATATATATATATAATATATATATATATATATATATATATAATATATATATATATATATATATGTCGTGCCGAATATGTAAAACTGGTCAATTAGCAAGAACTCATTTAAAATTAAGTCCTTTCTAAAATTTTCTCTTATACGTTTAAAGATATATTTTTTCATTAA